GTGAGACTCCAACTCAAATAAAATAAAATAAAATAATAACAAGTTACCGTTTATTACACATAGTTTTAACATAGTTTTACCATAACTCTAATTTTGGCAATATTATTACTATTTTTTTTTTTAATTAGAGTCTCACTCTGTCACCCAGGCTGGAGTGCAGTGGCACACTCACAGCCACCGCAGCCTCAACCTGTGGGGCTCAGGCGATCCTTCTGCCTTAGCCTTCCAAGTAGCTAGAACTTCAGGCGTGCGCCACCATGCCTAGTTAGGCAGTATTATTATCTTCATCTTCCAGGTGAAGAATTGATGCTTAGAGAGGTCAAGCAGTTTGACCAAGTCACATGCTATTTCATGGCAGAGCTAAGTCTTAACCCCAGAACAAGGGAAGGAAACAACCCAGTAATGCATGGATTTCCAACAGGAACCCTCAGATCAGGCCTGGGACTGTGTACTTAAGTGTCTGTCACCTGTAACCCACCATCATCCTATTTGCTAGACTTCCTGCTGGTTTCAAATCTTAGGAAGCAAATATAAAGAACAGCAGAGAAGTCATAACTAACACACACACACACACACACACACAGGTATTTGGCAGATACAATGCAACTATAGGCCAACCTGTAATAATAACAAACTAAGTTTATAAGGAATACACTGCTCTGGATAAAAGTGATGTCTGGGGACTACCATGCTGGCTCCTGAGACACATGCAATAACCTGGGTTTTCACATCAACTACTTGCCTGCAGCAGAGATTGGGAAATGTCTGCATTCTCTGGACTGTCAAAATGCAGGAGTTGGGAGCCAAACCCATAAAAATGTGGCCCCATTTTGTGGAGGTCCACCACATTGGCATCCGCACTGAACACGGTCCTCCAGCCCTCTTGGTAGATCTTGGGAAGTTCCACAGAAAGGATCCGTCGCTTGTTGTCAAAAAGTCCTTTTGCCAGCCACAAGGGAATTTCAAGCTTTGAGCCCTGCATTGTGTGATAATGGTGATTTTAAAAACAGATAACATAGTAAATACATGTGACAAAAAGGAAATATAAGCAAGAAGGCCTGTTCTCTTTGGGGGAGTTAACGGTCAAAGACCTATTTGTAACTTGAAGAAATGAACGGTGTGGGCTAAGTTTTATGTAATAATGGAATGCAGAAAATGGATTTATACAACAAAAACATGGTAGAGAACAAAAATATAGCATAAGGAGAGGTCAATGTTCTAACTAATAAGAAATGTCTAATTTGGTCAGGCTCAATGTCTCATGCCTATAATCCCAGCTCTTTGGGAGGCCAAGGCAGGAGGATTACTTGAGTCTAAGAGTTTGACACCAGCCTAGGCAATATAGTGAGACCCTGCCTCTATTCAAACAAACAAACAAATAGAAAACCAAACTGTCCAATTGCAGATACTTCAGAGCTATAATTAATGTTCCTACTTTCTTTGAATATTCAATATTTATTCCATATATACCTCTCCACCCCCATCCCTCTCTTCTTTTAGAGACAAGGTCTTGCTCTATTGTCCAGGTTAGTGTGCAGTAGTGGGATCATAGCTCACTGAAGCCTCAAGCTCCTGGGCTTCAGTGAGCCTCCCACCTCAGCATTCCAAGTTGCTAGAAATCAAGGCATACCTACCACGCATGGCTGTCCCCCCCCCCCATGTGTGGGGTCTCACTGTGTTATTCAAACTAGTCATTAACTCCTAGTTTCACATGATTCTCCCACCTTAGCTTCCCAAAGTGCTAGGATTACAGGTGTGAGACACCATGCCTGGCCATCTCTGTATTTTTAAAGCCCTAACAGAATTTGAAGACAAGATGAGGTGGCTATGATGAATCAGAAAATAAGAGAAATCTCCTCCAAATCAAAGGCAAACATAACTGGCTTGAATGAGGCAACAAAAATCTAAAACTCAGGCAAGAAAGAACTGTTGTAAAAGGTGGGAGCAGTCTTGGGGGTTGTGGGAAGCAGAGCTTTTGGCAAACTCTACAGGACTAGAGAGACAAGTATTGAGTTTAAGGTGCCAAAGCAGCCAGGATATGAGGGGCCAAGGGAGAGAAGAGAGAGAAGTAAGAAGGGAGAGAAGTAAGTCCAACATTTGGTCCCATGTATCAGAGTAAGTAGGCATCAACTTTAAAATAAATTAGAAATAAACAGAAAAAAAAAAGAAATAAACAGAAATTCCAAAACTGAAAAATAAAATAATTGAACCCAAGAATTCAATAAATTAAATGCAACTTAACAAGTTTACTAGATTTGACATAGATGAAGAGAGAACCATGAATCAGAAAAAAGATGAGTAGAAAATATCCAGATCTGGTTGAAGAGAAAAGAGAAAACAGCAAGAGACATATGAAATAATTTAAATAGATGGAGGGAGACAGAGAGAGAAAAGGTCTAACAGGCATGTCATTTGAGGAGGAGGGATAGGTTGAGGTGAAAGAAATATCTGAAGAGACATGGCTGTACATTTTCCAAAATTAAAAAAAGATATCAAACCACAGATTCAACGACCATCATGAACAAGTAGAATAAATAGTAATCAAATCACAACTAGGCATATCTTACTCAAATTGCTGAAAACCACAGAAAGAGAAAATCTTTTTTTTTAAGTCAGGGTCTCACTCTGTCGTGCAGGCTGGAGTGCAGGGGTTCAATCACAGCAATTGCAGCCTTGACCCCCTGGGCTCAGGCAATCCTTCCACTTTACCCTTCCAAGTAACTCGAACTATGTGCGTGCACCACCATGCCCAACTAATTTTTTTTTTTGTAGAGACAGGGTCTTGCTGTGTTGCCTAGGCTGGTCTCAAACTCCTGGGTTCAAGTAATCCTCTTGCCTCGGACTCCCAAAGTGCTGAGATTACAGGTGTGAGTCATTGCACCCGGCTACTTAGAAGGCTGAGGTGGAAGAACCCCTTGAGCCCAGGAGGTTGAGGCTGTATGACTGTGCCACTGCATTCCAGCCTAGACAACAAAGTGAGACCTCAACTAAAAAAAAAAAAAAAAAAAAAAGGCAAGAGCTTAATGACCTAGAAAAGACAAATCAAGAAAGAGAGAAAGAGAGACAGCACAATTTATCAATATTAAGAATAAAAGGCTGGGCTTGGTGGCTCAGCCTGTGATCCCAGCACTTCGGGAGGCAGAGGCGAGTGGACTGCCTGAGCCCGTGGGTTTGAGACCAGACCGGGGAACTTGGCGAGACCTTGTCTCTACAATAAAATTAAAAATTAGCTGGGTGTGGTAGCGTGCGCCTGTAGTTTCGGCTACTTGGAAGGCTGAGGTGGAAGGATTGCCGGAGCCCAGCAGGTTGATGCTAGGGTGGCCATGCACTCCAGCTGGGGCGATGAAGTGAGGCTCCAACTCAAAAAAAAAGGAACAAAAATAATGACATCACTCTAGTGGCACTGACATTAAAAGTTGGTAAAGGCTGGGCGCGGTGGCTTAATCCTGTAATCCCAGCACTTTGGGAGGCCGAGGTGAGGAGATTGCCTGAGCCCACGGATACGAGACCAGCCTGGGAAACTTGGTGAGACCTCATCTCTACAGTACACAAAAAAATTAGTTGGCCATGGCAGCACACGCCTGTAGTTCCAGGTACTTGGAAGGCTGATGCAGCAGGTCGATGCCTGGGTGGCCGTGAGTGTGCCACTGCACTCCAGCCTGGGCGACAGAGTGAGGCTCCAACTCAAAAAAACAAAAACAAAAAGGTGGTAAAGGACATTTCGAACATTGTACGAACAGTGTTGAAAATTAGATGAAGTGGTCAAATTCATAGTTAAAAACGAATATAACAAAACTAGCACAAGAATAAATATAAAATCTGAATAGTCCTGTATCTATAAATGAAATTAAATATATCACACAAACCTTCCTACACAAATCTCCATGCAGACGAATTCAAACAAGGTAGACAATCTGCCCTTAAGGAAGTCCAATATGACTCTCCATTCCTTCAGTGTGGCTGTATATAATGACTTCCTTCCACAGAGTACAGTGTGAACATGTAGAGAAACTTGACAGACACTACCTCAGCCATGTTGCCCAGGCTGGTCTCAAATCCCTGGGCTCAGGCAATCCTCTCACCAGGGTTCATATGAACAGTAAAAGTCATGTTGATTGCTGGCATCTTTGATACGATGCAATGAAAATGGCACTTTATCTTGGTGGTCTTCTTCCCCAGAAACCATAACCACAGTCTAATCATGAGGAAAATATCAAACAAATCCCACCAAGGAACAGTTTACAAAAATCTGACCAGCACCCCACAAACAGTGGAGGCTATTAAAGACAAGGAAAGTCTGATGAACTACCACAGCCCAGAGGAGCCTAAGGAGACAGGACTACTAAATGCAATGTGGTATCCTAAGATAGGATACTGGAACAGAAAAAGGACTTTAAATAAAAGCTAAGGAAACATGAATAAAGCATGGGGCAGCACATCTCCATGTTTTCCAGAGAGTATGGGAACCAAATCCTCATCTACTATAAAGGGAAGTCAACAAATAGTGTCTACATTTTAAACAATCAAGAGGAGTACATTTTAGAGTTTTTTTGGGTTTTTTATGTATCAGAGTCTCACTCTGTCACCCAGGCTGGAGTGCAGTGGCACGCTCATGGTCACCGTACCCTTGACTGCTGGGCTCAAGTGATCCTGAACTACAGGCACATGCTACCACGCCTGGCTAATTTTTTGATTTGTTGTAGACATGAGGTCTTACCAAGTTGCCCAGGCTGGTCTCAAACCCCTGGGGTCAGGCAATCCTCTTACCTCGGCCTCCCAAAGTGCTGGGATTATAGGCTTGAGCCACCATGCCTGGCCTAGTTTTAGAATATTATTTAGAAATATGGAGATGAATCGTGAAAACACCACTAAAAATGTACACAGGCCCTGCAGAGATGGAAAGAGAATGGGAGAAACAAGTCAGGGTCTGCTACTTTTTGTTATAGACCTTTTGGTATTATTTGACTTTAAAAACTTTGTGTAGGCGGGTCTCAGTGGCTCAGCCTATAATCCCAGCGCTTTAGGAGGCCAAAGCGAGTGGATTGCCGAGCCCGCGGGTTCAAGACCCACCCGGGCAACTTGGTGAGACCTCGTCTCTACAATAAATCAAAAAGTAGCCGGGCCTATAGTTCCAGCTACTTGGAAGGCTGAGGCTGAAGGATCGCTGGAGCCCTGCAGGTCGAGGCTGCGGTGGCCGGGAGCGTGCCACTGCACTCCAGCCTGGGCGACAAAGTGAGACTCCAACTCAAAAAAAAAACCCAAACCAATTTTGTGTATGTATTACATTGATAAAAATCAACTCAAAACAAAGAGACCAAACAAAAACACCCTTCTAAGCAAAAGTTAGGTGAAAGACGAAAACAAAACGAACCATTACAAGTCTTGCTCCTGGGGCAAATTTATATTTGAAGCCACAGGGCCTTAGGTTCTGAATCCCAGCTCACTACGTACTGTGGGACCCAACCTTTCTGGATTCCAGTTTCCTTGTATGCAACAATACTTAACTATAGGGTTGTTGAAGGATTAAAGGGCTAATAGACAGAAAATCCTACTCCTCCCACCCCATCCATGCTGGCACTAAGTAAGCCCTCAGTAAATGGTGCTGATGAATCTGCTCTTACAGAAACCACAGATGTTCTAGGGCAAACACAATCAGAACCCTGATCCTGAAGTACTCAATGGGAGCCAACCCTTAAGCATTCGACACACGCTGGAGGAAGACACTGATGATATGGGCAATTTAAAAAATGAACCAGTGCTGGAGGGAGCCTGGCGACCTAGGATAAATGTCGTTTCCCCATCGGTGGCGAACACCAAGTCCAGAGGCCACTTTGCGCACTACACAAGAGCCGCAATGAGGCCCTCAGAGCCTACGGCCCCCGTCTCCCCCGAACTACAAATCCCAGAGGGCAGTGCACGTCGACCCGGCGTCCCCGGCCGCAGGGCCCGCCGGGAGTTGTAGTCTTTCCCGGCGGGATTCCTCGCCGAAGGACTGACCTGGGGGACCGCGTTGTCGGTGTCGGCGCCAGCGCTGCGCTCCAGGAAGAAAGCGCCGAGGCGAGGCATGGCGGTCTCCGTGCGCACCGGGAGCTTCTCGTGGGACATCAGGATGTCGTCCAAGGAAAGATAGTTCTCCTCAGGCCCCAGCGCACCCGACTCCACCCGGAAATACGCCTCGGACATGGCGGCGTCTTGAACTTCTCCGCTTCCACTTCTCGTGGACCTCAGGGAGTCAGGGGTGTAAAGAGAGGAGAAGGCGGCAACAGGATAGTTGAAGTTGGGGAAGTCGATTGAAACTCATTTCCCGCGCCCGGGGACGGGACAGACAGGAGCAGTCGATCTGGGCGGGCATTCCCAGGCAGAAGCAATCGACCAAGTGTGCGGACCTGGACCAGCGGGACTGCGGGGTGAGGGTGAGGGGCAGTAGGCGGGGCCGCGGAGGTTGCCTCGTCTCCGCGTGTAGCCTAGTGGGAACGTTTCAAAGAACCCGTTGATGCTACATGATGCGTTCGCACTAGATTGTGTTCTTGTGGTCCATTAAATGCTTTCGTGAAATTAAAAACACTTTAAACACATTGGGTGGCTTACAATAAAGGTATCGTGTGTCCTCCACTCCAGGCCTAATCAAATCTGACTTTTCGTACAGATTTTTGTTAACACTGTGCAACTCTGTTAATCTCGGTATTTGAAAGAAACGTAAAAAAAATTTAAAAACCAACAAAAAACCGAAAACCAGCACTAACTCCAGAGAATTTTTGACCTAGATTATGAACTGTTTTGTTTGTTTTGGTGGGGGTAGAGGTGGGATGGAGCACTAGACCAAAAGTCATGAGTCTGCTCTACGGTCCCCCAGCTCACTTTATCATCAACTGACAATCTCCTTTTGTGACTTTTAATTTAAAATAAGAAATCTGGTCTAGTTCAGCTTTTTGAGCGGACCACGATGGTCATAGATCCCCAGCCACCCTGCAGATGAGATGCCTGTGTCAGATGCCATCGCTGATCCAGTGTCTTGGAGAGGGCGGATGAGAAGGGCCATGGTCACATAGTCCCAGACTTGGTGGCTCTACTCAGCAAGGGATATGGGTGGTGGCAGATTGTTGAGAACTGTGCTACAGAATTTGCTTCATGTAGAAGAACATTTTCAGGGGCTACTAGAACTGTGACCATAGTGTGTGGGGGAAGAGAGATGTGTGTTAATAATGGTTTGTATTTTCTGGTGCTTTGACATCTTGGGCCCTTGTGTGTGTACTTGGGGAGGAACTGCCTCCTCCAGCGTTAGCTGATTCCTGGAGTTAGCAAACAACTTGCTTGTGAACACATGCTTATATCCAAGCCTATATCCCCATCCTTCCTTTATCTAACTTACACACCAATATTTCCCCTGCCCTAAATCACAGTAGTAAATCACACCAGAACCAAGTACCAGACAACTAGAGATCGTCCCTATTTCCCAGAGCCTGCCAACGCTATTCAAACTGTTCAGTCCTAAACTTGCGCAAACTTGCCTGCCCTGCCTCAGTCAATCCTTCCCACAGAAACTGCAGTGAAGGCTCTGAACCATGCTATCTCCCTGCCACCTCTGCCTCCTAATTGACCCTAAACCTTTCTCACGTGGCCCTGTGTGGTATGTCATACTCCCTTCTCTTGAGAACTGTAACAAAACTTTGCCTCCAGAAATTAAATTCTGAGGACAATGAAGACAAGATGCAGTGGGGAGTCGGTCAAACTGTGTTAAGCCTTGGGTACCCTTCTGAGCAGTTAGGCTATTCCACAGAAAATTGGAGAAAAATTGTAATGTGTTTGAGCAAATAAAATAAATCTGAGCTTTAAGAAGAAAATTCTAGCAGTGGGGTGAAGAAGAGAGATGTTAGATGCTGGGAAGCCAGTTTAGAAGTTCTTCAGTGGACAGTATTTGGCAACTAATTGGCTATAGGAAGTGTAGGATGGACAGGCATCAAAGATTCAAGTTTCGAACCTGATTGACCAGGTGGATGGAGATATCACTAGTAGATACACAGGCACAGAACTAGGGGAAGTTTAAGGCAAAGGATGAGTTCAGTTGGAACACATGGAGTCTAAGAGCAACTCATCAGGTGGGTCTGCAGCCCTATGGAAAAACCAGCAGGGAAGCTTCAGAGTTAGGAGGCATCATTTATTTTTATTTTTTTCTTGGAGGCGTCATTTAGAGGTAGTTATAGGAGGATTTTTTCTTTATCATGTTTTAAATGTTCATTTGCAATCCAATCCAATATAAAAGTAAACATAATCTGTAGTATTAATTTAGAATTTATCTGACGATGTGTATATAGTACTGGATGTAGCTTGGGATAGAAATAGAAATTAATTTGTCTCATTGAAGGCAGTATAGTTATTTACTGCCAAGGACAGTAAGTTATTTTTTAAAATGTTGAAACAATTAAGATAGATGCTTAATGATTTATTGATGACAAAGAAAAGCAATACTTTTGCACAGAGTCCTGAACATTGACTCTAAGCTCAAATACCGCTATTATTTTAATACTAAAGCAACAGGCCAGTTTTAAAAAAACCAGATTGCCTCGTTTTTCTTTTTTGAGCAGGGTCTCACTATGTCATCCAAGCTGGAGTGTAGTGACACAATCCTGTGACTACAGGCAGCTGGGACTATGGGCATGCGCCACTATACTGGGCAAATTTTTTTATTCTATTTTTTAATTTTGGTAGAGATGGGGTCTTGCTGTGTTGCCTAAGCTGGTCTTGAACTCTTGGGCTCAAGTGATCCTCCCACCTTGGCTTCCCAAAATGTTGGGATTACAGGCGTGAGCCACTGCACTTGGTCTTTGTTTTTCTAATTTAATGATTTAGCCCATTGTGAAACTGTCAGGCATTGTATATATCATTATTCCAGTTAATCTTTTCTTTCCTTGAACTAATAAACAGTGAATAAGCCAGAAAAAGTGAAATTAGTGAAAGTTGGAGCTTATTATGCATCAATTCATTTGACAAAAGTGGCACATAGTTTATCAAGGATAGATCTGTTTATAGCTTAAATTCTAACAGCAGGAGTACTTCTCTGCTCTGAGAAAGTTGTGTTCTTTAGCACCCAGATAACCAATCCATGCACCAGAATTACACTAAAAGGAATTTCAGTAACCTTGTAATATTTAGAATATATTCAGAATATTTACAATATACAGCATTTCAGTATTCTGAAAGATGTCTGCTGGATCCCTGAAAATTTGAGTAGCTTTTCCACTCAATCATTTCAAGATTTCAGAAGGATAGAGCTGTGATGTTCCAGAACACAGAGCAAATGTTTTAGTGAACAGGACAGTGGCTGTATGACCTTTTATGACCTTGTCTCAGAAGTCACAGCCTCAGAAAACACACAGGCTTTAGATGAGCAAAACCACAAGCAGCTTTAAGTCTGTGCTTTTGAATACCAGTGCTTTCCAAATTTCTTTCAGAGTGGGGAGATTGTGATGCAAGTGACAGAAATCCAAATCCTGGGGGTGGGGAGGACAAACTCGGAAAGGAAGAAAGAAAAAAAAAAAAGAAATGTACAAAGCTGTACACATGATTCACTACAAAACAAAAATAAATGTATTGGACTTCATCCTTCCACTTGCTTGCTCAGGCCAAACGTGGGGTTTTCCTTCATCCCTTCTCTCACACTTACACTCTCTCTGTAACTGGCCATCAGCAAATGTTGACTCTCATATTTCCAGAATCTGACCTTTTCTTATCACTCTGGTCCAAGCCACCAGCCTCTCTTGCTTGCATTTTTATATTAGCTTTCTTCTTCATTTATTTATTTATTTATTTTAGACAGGGTTTCCCCTGTCACCTAGGTTGGATCTCAGTTCACTGCAGCCTCAAACTGCAATTGCTCAAACAATCCTCCTGCTTCAGCCTCCTGAGTAGCTGGGATCACAGAAACACACCACCACACCTGGTTTTTTGTACAGACAGGGTCTTGCTTAGTTGCCCAGGTTAGTCCCAAACTTCTGGGTTCAAGCAATCCTCCTGCCTCAGCCTCCCAAAGTGCTGGGATTACAGACATGAACCACCACACCCAGCATTGCATTTGGTTTCTATCTCTTTGCTTCTCTCCATGACCTCCCTGTTGTTCCTTGAACACCCCAGACACACTTGTTTCCCAGGGCTTTGCATTGTCTGTTCCACTAACTGGATGTCTTTCTTTTGGATTTTCACATGGCTGGCCTTTACCAAAAACCACTGTCTCAATGAGGCCTTTCCTGGCTACCTTATCTACAATTTTAACTATTTCCCACTCAGACTTGATATGCCATGCTGCAGTTTGATTGTGTCTCCTCAGATTCATGTGTTGGAAACTTAAACTATAAGGCAACAGTGTTGGGATGTGGGGCCTAGTGGGAGGTGTTTAGGCTGTGAGATCTTCACCCCCATGAATGGATCAGTGCTGTTATTAAAAAGGACTTTGGGGAGTAGGTGATCTCTCTTCTACTCCTCTGCCATGTGAGGACACAAAGTTTGCCCCTTTTTGGTCCCTCTGACTTCCACCATGTGAGGCACAGCAAGAAGGTCCACACCAGATGCCAGCACATTGATCTTGGACTTCCCCGCCTCCAGGACTGTGAAAGATTAAATTTCTGTTCTTTCTAAATTACCCAGACTCACATATTCTATTATAGCACAAAATGGACTAAAGACAAATGGACACCCCCCCTTATCCCTTTAGCACTGATCTGTCTCTAATGTAGTATTTCTTTTACTTATTTATAATGCTTATTGTCTGTCACCCATATTAGAACATTAACTCCATGAGGGTGGGGATTCTTTTCAGTCTGTTTCCCACTGCTGTATCCCCGCTGCCTGGTGATGTTAGGCATATCATAAATATTTACTGAATGAAAGAGTGGTTCTTTATATATAGCAGTGATCTTACATTTCCTTTAAAAACAGCAAGTAAAAATTTTAAGTAAATAACAGTACAAGTAAACATGTAGATTTACAATGGTGACAAAATGTAGCAGGGAAACACATATAACCAGATGTTAAAGAGGTTAAAAAGGTTTGCCAAGGCACAGGTTGGTCACACTAATTCTCTAAATTCATGAACTTAGGCCACTAATGTCATAAGAAAGGTTCACTGATTATGCTCCACTGTACTGAGTTCTACCTTTATACCAACTATAAAAATGGAATACTTGGCTGGGTATGGTGGCTCACACCTATAATCCCAGCATTTTGGGAGGCCGAGGTGAGAGGATTGTCTGAGCCCACAGATTCGAGACCAGCCTGAGAAACTTGGCTAGATCGCATCTCTACAATAAATCAAAATTTGGCCTGGCATGGCACGCCTGTAGTCCCAGCTACTTGGAAGGCTAAGGCAGAAGGATTGCTTGAGCCTAGCAGGTCAAGGCTGTGGTGGCCATGAGCGTGCCACTGCACTCTAGCCTGGGCGACAGAGTGAGACTCCAACTCAAAAAAAAAAAAGGAATGCTTGAGCAAATAGAGTGGATATATTTTAAAATGACTTAGTTTCTTACCTATAAAACATTTCTAGCAGACTTTCTACTCAATTGTTACTTCAGAAATTCAG